AAGTGATAGAACCGGTCCTCAAGTCATACTCCTTACACTGTTGCGGTTTATTTCCATCCTCGAGGAAACGGGCTGCATATCAGTGTTATAAACAAAGAACGGTATTCCTGTAAGATTTTAGCTGTACCTGACTTTCTATCTCCTTGTATCAACTTTCGATCTTGCTGGCTCAACAATATCTGACACCAGTTAGCAAACTTTATTTCCTCATCCACACGTTTCGCGAATGGAGGTGATAGCGAGGTCCATTTTTAAACAAATCGTCATACTGGGCACAATTCTGCCGTGCTAAGGAAAAACGCCGTATGAACATTCGAGACTTGCCAAATTTTCCTTTCTAAAACGTGTATTTTTGACCAAATGTATGCATATTTTCCCACGAAACTTTCAGATATTTTAGATCCAACTGCGTGCAAAATTAGGTGAAAATTTTGGGGGGGAAAATATTCACAATTTTCCCAGTAAATTCTGTTTTTATCAAAGGAAATTTGGCAACGTCTGAAGGCTCATACGGCGTTTATCCTAAGCACGGTAGAATACGGCTCGGGCTGCGCAAGACGTTCTTTTCAAATCGGATTTTGTCGTCTGCTCTCCCTGCTTCAAATAATTGGCACAATTTATGTATGCTTTCATTATTCGTTGTATCTGTCGACTGCCGAGTTGCATTACGCTCGTTCTCGATGCTAATCGAATCTGCGTCATTGAGCTCTCGTGGAGACATACAATTTCATGATTTTTATTCACTACTAAGTAAACATTGCTATCTCCCCACCTAACTCCCTAAAAATGTCCAATATAACATTCCTACTCTTTCAAATCCTACTCAGCTCGAAATAACCTCATTTGTGTATAGATGGCTGTAGATTCCTAAAAAATTTGAACAAAGGAATAGAAGCCAAAAAACTCCCCCCCCCCCCCGTTTGTTTACTTTTAAACCCCCCCCCCCCCCCAAAAAAAAGAAAAAAGTAAACATTGGAAAGTATCTTGGATCTAGAGTCGGGACTCTTAAAAAATTTGACAAGAAAAAATACTCTTGATTCAATCGGATTTTTGCTCGAATCCAAAGGAAATCTGCTTAAATTAAGAGGATTGGTTCTCAATTCAAGTAAAAATCCGGAAAAAAAAGTCTCTTGGGTTTAGTGATCAGATTCTTAACAAAATTTGACAAGAAAAAGTCCTCTAGATTCAATCGGATATTTGCTCGAGTCAAAAGAAAATCTGCTTAAATTAAGAGGCTCTCGCTTCAAGCAAAAATGCAATTAAATCAAGAGTAGGTACTTTTTCTTGTTAAATTCTCTAAGAGTTTGGACACTGGATCCAAGAGACTTTTTTCTCCAGTGAAGAACTGTATTAAGTGTGTGTCCAGGCCAGAAATTTTCGAATTAGAGAGTACTTTCGTGGAGAAAAATGAAAAAGAAAAATTGAGCGAAACTGATAAATTCCGGTCCTTTTCATCGCCAACATTTTTTTGTGAACAATTTTTTACTGCCTAAATAAACTCTCAGTTTTCTAGGTTTTGTCCATCAGCCTGGGCTATTAAGGTATGTGTGATGGGTTTAGGCAAAATGTGTCTTAGGGTAGAAACTCTTGCTCACTACGATGGGAAACCCGATTTTGAGTCAAAAACACTGATTTTAAGTTAGTGCTTGTAAGGCGTGTTTTAAAATTCTCGGTCACACGTGCGTGAAAAACCTCTCACACTCCGAAGTCAAATTTGGAGAAGACAGCTGCCGTTTTACACGTGAAATCCTGATTATGAAACGTCTACCAAGATCCGCATGAGTTCGAAACTCGTCTGATGGTTCACTATCAAACGGACTTCACGATCAGCTGGCGTTGAAAGTTGATGGCTTCATCTTGAAAATATTGCGAAAACAGTTGAGACTAATTTTGAGAGAAAATTGATTGCAATATGTTTGCAACCATGTCTAGCAGGAGGACGATCGCACGGCATTGGTATGCAAACAAATCGATTTAGATAAAAATCAACGCTGCCGTCTGAGGCTACAACCTGTAGCGCACGCTTCCCTGGAACCGGCGGTGATAGCGCAAGGAAAATGGCGCGAAAAAATAGCTCTATCTACGTGCGCCAAGAAATTTGAGCGGTAAAAATTGATAACGTGATATTGCACACTGACCATCCACAGAGTTTTGGGGTAACTAATCGGGAGTACAGTAAAATCGAGAGAAAAAATTTCCTTCGGAAAATACACTCACTAAATGAGGAGGGGGAGGGGGAGGGGGCGTGCATGGTGCACCGAGAAGAAAATACCTAGGTGACTGGGAGGGATAATAATTTCGTTTTAGCTTTGGAGTGTGAGCCGTCTTCAATATCTTAGAGAATAGGAGCATGCATTTTTACACGAAATTACCTACATCCCTCAGTGATGTAAAATGATCAAATTCGACTATTATATGATGATGAAAGATTGACATCGAAAAAACGATTTTTTTTTTCGCTAAGAAGTGTTTTTTTTCATTTTCATATTTAACGATTTTAATTTTTTTTTTTTTTTTTTTTTTTTTTTTTTAAGGGAGACTTGACTTATGATTTTGATACCTCAGAATTTTTCAGGCGATTAAGTCTGATTAGTAGAAAAAGTAGGTAATTTTAAGATCTTTTACTGTTTATGGATAACTTCCTTTAATTATATCTGATTTTTTTTTCTTCTGAAGATAATCTGGAGATCTGCACTCCCTCTACCACGTTTAATATTGAGCTAACATAGAGTTCCTGTATCTTTTGTGATAAAAAATTGTGTAAAAATTCGTTTGGAATGTGAAAATTATTTGGGCGATGAACATTTTAGCAATAAAAATATGTCATTTTTCTGTTTGAAAAAGTTTTGTGAGACTTTATGGGACGCAAAGTGTAGACATTCCTTAATTTATGAGCTGTTCTACGATGTTTTTTTTTTAAAAATAAGTGCAATATTGGAATTTAATTTCAAATGTTTAAAACTGCAGGCCAGTTGATGAAATTTGATAAACATTGACAGAAAATAGTAACTATGATAAAAATGAAATGGCATCATTGGTTGGATGATAGGTAATGTGATTTTCCCCTCATCCCTTTGTCAAGTATATGTATTGTTACCCAGCTCTGCAAAAGACACCGATAACTTGTCGATCCCATTTGATAAAGGTATGATGAAGAGATGCAACATTTTATGACTGAATAATAATGCAATGCTGTTCTCGCTAAAAAAATGAGCCTATGCAGTGGCTCTAATGTAAATATTTTCAACGACAGATCATATGATGAAAAAGCAATCAGCCTGTGGGCTTACTGGAAACTGTTGTCATTAGCATAAAAATTAAACATCTACGATTAGATAGTTTGCAAAATGCCCAAGCATAAAAAAATATTCTCAAGTCATCACCGCTGCAATGAATGAGACCTCTTTGATCAGGGTGGTAAAGAAATGCAGGTTTGACTTGCTGCTTCATTCTGTATTAGCAAGACTCTGCTTTACATTGAAGTAGTTAGAACCAGGGTGGGTGGTTTCACAATGAGAATTTTTACTAGGTACAAAGAAAAAAAACTTGGAACATTCCAAATGATTTTAACTACCGTCTAAAGAATAAGATGTCTTTAAAACATTTCAAAAAACCCTAGGCTACTAAACCGAGCGAACAAAAAAAGAGTGAAATTGTTGGCCAGAGATTTGATCTGCACCCTAGCATAACTTTTTCAAAATTTTTGCATTGGAGCTTCTACAGATGAAAACTTCACACAAGGTAGAGGTGCAAAGAATCCTCTATGGAGTGAATAACTCTCCTCGTCAAGAAGAACACCGCTAACAATGAAAGATGGCAAGATGTAGAAGACGGAATCACCATACGAAAGAGGGGAAACAATTTCAACAAAGAAGGAAATATTTGGATGGTCTGATTTTGTTTACAGAATTCTGGTAAATGAAACAGCATTTAAGTATAGCATTCCACAGAATATTCAGGAAAATTTAAGAAAATAAAATCACACCCAACTAGCTAACAATGGAAACAGTTCCTAGCAGTTCTATCGCAACTTTTACAAAAGGAGACATTGACAATTTATAACCTACAAAACTTAATGTAACTGTCACACAGATTAATTTGCATGAGTTGCCGCCGGCTCATTTGGAAATTCTGAAGAAAGGTTAATTTGCATTCTTAATGGATGCAATTTATCGACAAATATTTCAAACGAGCATAACCTGTGTAGAAATTTGAGGGGCCTTAGTTAAAAAGCTCAAAGATACCTGCCCACAGGAAAGATACATCTCAGCCAAGAGGTGTCACAAATTTTTGGATAACAATGACACACTGTTACATCGTTCAAATGCATTAGCAAAATGCAGATATTCATTACAACAAGAGACTGAGATAAACATGTTGATGATGTTAATTAAAACTAGACATGATGCTGACAGATGTAATTTTTGAGGTAGATCAGGCAAATAGACACATACAAACAAAAAATTATCAGACGTCGGCAGTGAAATTGATAAGATCACGGTTAGAAACACGGAGCAAACAACCTATTAGATGTGAGTACCACAACTTTGGTAATCAAAGAGAGATGCTACTCGTTAAATACACGCAAACGCCCAAGAATATTAGAAATGGAAGAAAAAATAGACTCACTAATGAGATTGATGCAGTAGAAAAGAATGTGAGTGGGTACACAATAGCCAAGAGCCACAACAAAGTTCTCACGGTTGCAAAGGCCTTACAGCGGAATAAAGCCAAGAACTTACTTGCTGGGTGAGGGTGGAAAGTGCCCAAAAGCTCAGGCGATTCACGCAGGATTTATCCAATTTTAAATTTTTTACAAAAGAGGCGAATTCCTCTCACACATCTGACCTTCATTCAAAAGCCAGAACAGGTTAACGTCGTGGTTCCCTACACGGGACTTCGCAACACAAAACGAGAGCAAAACCTGGCGTATCCTCGCCAGTATTTGCTGAATAATGAGAAAATATGAAAAATTGAATTGATTGAAACTTGTCACTTACATCCGTTCACTGAATTCGTGTTTAAATTAGATTTTTCACGCACACATTCTGAATCAGCCATAATGACAACAAAATCACAACTGCGAACTCGAAACTATCGAATTTCGAGATAAGACGCAACGCAGAAAACGTAATCGACTACAGCGCTGCCTGTGCGGAAAATCCCAGAACTAACTCTTCTTATCACATCATCACCTCTTGTTTTCTTGCCTCGTCAACGCATGGAGCAATGTTTGCGCTGTCAACGCCGGAAAAAAGAAAACTGAACTGCGACAGGTGGCTCGTCATGTCATGCCTCATTCGTCAGTTCAAGTAGATGAAAATTTTCTACTTTCTAAGAATTTCAGCGTGCGGGCATTCTCCGATTCATTCATGAAAAGAAAACCACTCGTCCATTTTCCCTCCTAGGTCTCCCTCTTTTCGGCCATGTCGAGGTTTTTCCAGCATGGATACTAGATTAACTACCAGGAGGTTACTGTCCATATAAAGTACAGATTTTCGTATGAATTTCTTCTGGCAAAGCGCCGAACGGAGATGGTATTTGGATGGTTGCCTTTAAGCCTTCATGACGGATTTTTTACTGAGCAAAAATATCCTTCAAAAGTTCGAGTATGCAACCCCATAGCAGCTGTGTCCATTCATTACTTGCGCACGTGAAGGGGTTGATAGCAGGAGGGTCTCGGTCTCGCCTCACTCTCAATGTTGCAAATTATTTGAAAGAGTCATTTGTTCCTGAATTTTTTATTTTATTTAAATTTTAAGTCAATTTCTTGAAGATTTGACCAAAATTCCCTGAAATTTCGGTAGGAAACATGTATAGGTAGGTACTTACACTTGTTAATGATGAAAGAAAAAAGTTGTGGGATGAAACTTTGAAACATTACAATGCAACTGGATTTTGAGCGACATCAACATGGACACAAAGCTCTTCTTTTCCTCAATGACTGAAATTTTGATGAGGGGAAATTTCTGAGCTCAAAGAGATTAAAAGATTGCAACCCCTGACAATTTTTGCAGCTATACTTAAGTATAGATGAGGATTACATATACTAGGTACAAAGCAGCAAAGACCAGGAAAAATTATTCAAAATAAATTCTCCCAAGAATTGAAAAAGGGTACATTTTCTAGGAAGTAGTATTTTATGTAAAAAATTGTTTTTATTAATATATATAGCGATGCTTTGATTTTTCATGTATGTAAAAAGCTCTGAAGTTTTTCATTATTCTTAAATAAAAAGACATGGGTATTCTGCTTCAATTTATTATTCAATTCCTATCTATAAAGAAATATTTCTGTACCGTTCACCAAATTTTGCACATTAAAACTTGGTGATTTTTTGGACAAATTTCCTATCATCATGACACAGAGGGAAGATTGGAGGCTTGTGTCATAAAACAAAATAAATCAAAATTTATTCATGTTTTTAAATTAATGTAGATAAGAGGATGATATGTACCTCATTATTGTAAAAATTGCCAGTCTTTATAATATACAATTTTACTTCTCTTGTAGTCTTAAAAGTCACTGCCGGTAGGGCAAGACTCGAATTATCCACCAGCGACCATGTGTACACAAGTAAGTGCATGAAAGTAAAAGAGGAAAAGTACGAAAATTAATCCCCTGTGCGTGATAATCAAAGATTTGCAGGAAAAAGGAGTGTGATCTTATCATCGCACGAATGAAAATTACAGGGAATTAACTATGTTGGGGTGCAGTTCAAGTTGTTTTAAGACATTTTTTTCTTGGGTTTACAAGACACATTTGCAAGTCTCTTTCTTTTAAGGTAAACTCAGATAAAATCTTTAGCTTTTGAATGAAAGAGAGGCTATTCATGCAAAAGACTCAACCTTAATATCCAGTCAAAAGAATAATTAAATGAGGAGGGTCTTAACATCGGACAAAACAACTACAAAATATTACTATGTGGAATAAAACCAGAGACATAAAATCGTTTAATGTAATGAAAACAACTTTTATTCACCAAAGTTTTTTATAATACTTGAAAAAATTCAAAAGAAAGGTGCTGTGCTTATGAGTGTGAATTTGGGGATAATTGAGAATTTTGTACAGTACCAAAAATTACAGGGAAAATACAGTAAAGTAACTGAGAATATTGACAGAAGTATTACATTAAAAAAAAGTTAGTCTTACTTATGTATAATGCTTCATATGGAACATTCGGCAAGGTGCGAATTTAAACATTATTATAAACGTTTTTTCATCAAAATTTAAAACAAAACACATGTTAGAATGCTGAAATTGTACCTAGTTTAGCGATCCATTCGCTTTGTAGTAATTAAAATAAATGAAAATATTTTAACTTTTTTCTCACAAAAAATATGAAGTTTAAATTTAAACTGCCTCCACTTTGAGACTGTAACAGTTCTTTTTCTCCAATTACATCACACAGAAAATTGTTCGCAGAGTGATGTATTACATACTTTGAAGTGCTTTTCTTGCTGTCAATAACAGCTGATTCTAATCTACCTACATTCATCCACTTGAAAAAGCACTTTTTAACTAAAGTTGAGGGTTCAAACCTCTAGAATCCAATGTCCTCAGAAACTATTTTCAGGGATATACAGAAAGAGTTACAACTGGTGAGGTGAAAAAATTTCATAATTTTTTTGGATATCAGTTACTCACGATCAAGTCAATCGACAATTATCGAGAATGAAATCAACAGGAGATAATTTTAGTCTTAGAGGTAAAAACAACATGCGAGTTAAGTACTTGATGCAAAGTAATCAAGTAAAAAACTACGAACTTATTAACACTGAGGAAGAGAGTGCTTCCAGAGGCGGAGATAGTGAGCTAAATAATTGAGATCATATCAAAAAGTTTCCATATTTTTTTATTTTTCAAAAAACTCATTGTAGTATTGCAAAGTTACAGATCATCCACTAATACTTTCTTTGCTCTCTCATGAAACAAACTAATTGTGAGTTCAGTTTGCTCCGAGATCCCTTTCATTTTCAAGCTGTTTTCTCAAAATGTTCCGCGTATTATAGCAGAATCAATAGCAATGGTTAGAGTGAGTGTCTCTATTACGATGTTTCAAAATATCCGCTCCTATTCTATTTTTTTGAGGAGAAACGAGCCAAGTTTATAGCTTCAAATTTACACAGAATATTCTGCTTACAGAGAAAAAACATCAAGGAAGTTTTTAGAAAATTACATTGACCGGTTTTTCAAAGAGAAAATAAAGTATGATGGGAGATCTGCAATGTCACAAATGCCAATTCGTGTTAAGCACTTTGGCTATGCATAGATGCATTAATATAAGATGTCTACCTACATTTAATACTTTCAGTGGGACTTTTTTGCAGCAATGCACCTCACAGTTGTCTGACAAAATTAAAATATGAACAGACATTTTGCAAGAGTGTGATATTTTTAAGTGTTTTTCAATTCAGATATTATTTATGCAACAAAAGAATACTGTGCGATTTTTGGTGTCCAACCAAATAGGGGTATTAGAAGTGGCATGATACAAAGCTATCTGAGTCCTTGAAATTTCTTTTACTGAAATTTTTATTTAAAATTGGGGACAGCTCATTTTAGACTGTAAGGGTCTGAAACAAAAGAGGAAAACATTTCAAGATAAGAAGCTAGTTTCTCATCTTGTGAAGTATAAGAAATACTTATTTTACCCGATTATCATGGTAAAGTGATTTACAGCGATTAGGAAAAATAATTATTCAGGCACTTGCCTCTCCTCTCAGGAAAGAAGATTACCCAAAAGTCTTGTTAGGTTTTATCTGGGAATTGCCTATTATTATGAGCGTACTATTAAATACTTCTCTATTATTTACAAAAAAGGACAAACATTATTTACAAGTACAAAGGGTCAACTGTGCACAACACAAAAATCAAATTAGATAATACATTTTAACCGTGACAGCTAAGAATAGTGAGGGAAGAATGAAATATTTTACAGTGGAGGGTACAGAGGCAATGGAAAGTTAGAAAGGGTTTCTTCCGCGAAGGCCTGCTTCTCGCCCTTTTTTTGGGGCGTTGGGTTTGGCTCCATTAAAGATCAACTTAATGCCCTCTACTTGCACAAAAAAGAACAACACCCCTTCCAAAGTATTTCTTCGATCACTGGAGAGTACACTCCTTTGAATTCTTGAGTTCAAAATCTTTAACACAGCTTCACAATGACGACTCTCCTAAAAATTTCCTATCTACGCACAAAGTTCTTCTTTTTCCATCAAGATTCCGATTATTGCTATTTCTCCTTTATTTTTGAATAGTCTTTGCTTTTCACATTCATCACAATTTATCTGATGATTTTAAATTTGAGAGCCAAACATTGAAGTTCATTTCCGTGTTATGAGCAGTTGACCCTTTGCTGGTATGAAACACAGCCAAAAGTACCAAAGATTACCTAAAGACTTTCTCAAAATTAAAGTCAGCACACACTGGAATTCCACGTCAAAGCTGAGAAAATTTTGCGCAAAATTAACTTATCTATGCGGGAAACGCCGTTACACAGACAGCAAATAAAGAAGGTGTTATGAGTTACACAAAAGATTTACTAAAAAACGCACCGATAATTCACCAAATGGAACACAACTCCAATAATGCAATGAAGCTAACTTTTAAGCATGATGAAAAAAACATTTTTCCTCACTCTCAGCTTAAACCATAAAAAATAACTATTTGCATGTACAAAATGCATGAGTGGAATTCAATTAATGAAAGCGAACTACACTCGAGGAAGCGAGCTGTTGATTCGCTTCTCCTGTGATCGTGAGGATAGTCATAGGATATCACAAATTTTGCTGCCGCTGAATCACTTGCGTTTCACATGATTGTCTTTGCAGAGTCCCAGATTATGGAGCACGGAAAGAGCAAAAAACAAAACGAAACGGGATCTGTTATAATTCTTGATTCCAAAATTTAGCACTAATGGACCTACAGCCTTTTTGAAAACAAGGACTAGTAACAGAATCTTATTTCAGCAATTTAAGCTGATAGAGAGGCAAAATGTTAAAAGATCCATTCAACGGATCATTCCGTTAACTATGCTTTTAGAAAGAATAGGTTTCTATTAATAATAGATGTAAAAATATGTCACTTGGACGGAACTTAGTATTTAACTCTAATTTATGAGCTGAATTCATCTAAACACAATTATGTGGTGCAAGCAACTCACACATTGATGGAGGACATCCTTAAAATTCTAATCCATATTTTGATGACCATTGTTACTGTAAAGATAGCAGTAAACTTTTGATATCACAAATTTTGCTAGAAACCACAAAAGGGTCTTAGCTATTCAGCCGTTGCGAAGTTAAAGCAGCACCGCTGAGAAGTGAAAATACTGTTAACAAAGCACACGATTTTAGAGACACTTTGATAATACTCATGATGAAAGGTTAAGACTTTTTGTTTGGTGATATTTCCATTGTGAATTGAAAATCTCTCACAAGTAACATAGAATGTTTTTTGAAAGATCTGTAAATTAAATTGGATCTACAAATTTTTTGATTTGTATTATTATTAACTTTTAATATCCATGGCTAAAGCAGAAAAGACATATCTCAATTGCAACGTTTAAAAATCTCTTAATATGTTTAATATGCCCCGTGAAAAACTAATCAAAATGTGCTTTTTTTGCAATTTTGTATGATTTTTTAGAATGAGGGAAGAAGTTCACTGAAAATTAAAGTTAAAACTGTTCCTTGACTTCCCTTTACAAAATTAAAACACCAGCAAAGACTTATAATGTAGCACTCTGAGATACGCATTCTCCAACTTAGGTAATGGATATTTTGTGATAAAAAGACTCACCATGAGCTAGAGATTTAAAAAAATCAAGGTATCATCAAAGCTTCAAGTTTTGAGTGCTTTTAAAAACCTGAAGAAAATTACATTTTCTGATTATTCTCTCATTCTTAAATTTGGCTAAGTTGCAAACAAAAACGCAACCATATCCATAATGCAGACAGGCCAGGAACTGTACTCTGATTTAGAAACCGATTTCTTCCTGTGAATAAAATCAAGCGTTGTCTCCTGAGCAGCTCTTGAATCTCTGATTGGAATAATATGGCTAAAGTTCACCTGTGGAAAAATGAAAAAAACATTTCAATTTAAATAAATAAAATAACTAAATGGAATGGGAATCGCAAAACCTGAAAAACTCAAACTTTCTTCACTTAATTCTTCATCAATAATAAGTCATTCGGAGTCGTGCTATCACTTTTGAAGAGGAAGGCCAGCGGACCATCCAAAATGACGTATGGACAAAGAAATAAGTGCGGAAAGTTTGAGTTTCCAACATTTTAAACGTGTCATACCTGAGATCGAACTTTTTGATTGAACCAGACTGTAAGCAAGGCTCGCCCGCAAAAGTTGAGCGTTTAATCCTCTAAACTGAAACTTTGCTTCCACAAACATAATGGTTCCATTAATATGGTAACTTCACATATATGATCGATATAAGTCTTTTTATCAGAGCATGGAAAGATCACACAGCAACACACAGAAAGATCACAAAATGAGATGCTAAGAACCAATTTCGTCAACAGTACATGTTTAAACATATTGAGGCTAGGAGGCACAGTTTCTCAGGAAAGTCAAAAGCTCAGAACAGGATCAGGAATTCTCAGGAAAGTTTCCATTTTGGCTCTCAAAAGTGTGAATAAATACAACATTAAGTGCAGGAGTGTGCATGAGTTCATTATATCTGGTTGGGGTTATTTTAGTCTCAAGCCAAGGCCCACCTCAATATAAATCAATGGCTAAAGGAGGAAAATGCATATTACTGATTGCATTATCGCAAATCACTGCAGATGTTTTAATCTGTCAAAAGAGTTTTTTTAAAAATCAAAACATTATTTCTTGAGATTTTTTTGAGGATTATTTTCACTCATTTAAAAATATTCACGGGGAGTCTCAAAGAGTTAGATTCCTTTCATAAAATTAAAACATAATCGGAGATTTCAAAATGCTGAACTGAAGATAAGCATTTTCCAACTTTAACAATTGTAATTTTGATGTAAAGAAGCACAATGTGAAACTTACCAATCCGTCCGTGAGAGGTGCAGTTGGAGTAACACAGGAATCAAAGTGTGTTCGATGCATGACAAGCCCTGCCTGTGGCGCACCATCATTTTTAATTGTGACTAGAGATACAATGTGCAGATCCGGCTGGAACGGGTGGTCCGCTAGGCTGATCTGCTGGCTGATTGCTACAGCCGAATTTGAATTCCATATTAGTTTCGTCGCCGGGTATAGTAATGAGGTAAGGGCAGCGTAAGCTGCTAGTGATAGTGCACCATGGCTTTCTGCTGGCCGCCTCTGTAAAGTGAAAAATAAATTAATGATAAAAAAGTCTTCATGAACTTATGGTAACGAGTGTTTTACCCGCTCAAATGGTCCTTGAGGTTCTAATCTCAATTTCAAACACTTGCTTGATCTAATGAAATTGAATGCTTTTGCAGGCTTCTGAGAGTAACGAGTATTTTTCATCAATTTTTTTTGGTCCAAGCCAAGCAGTTTTCAATGTAAAAAAAAATTATTACATCTCTACAACCCTTACATAAATGAAGTTTTGGTACACTGTGAGTAAAGTAGTTGGTAATCACGCCTTAATTTACTACTATCTGATAAGTCGCTTCCACCTTAATTTTCATTTTTAAAATTATTTTTAAGCTAAAATTGAGAAAGATTAGAAAATTAAATTATACATAATAATTAATAGCAAAAAATTGAGATTGCTTTGCCCTTCAACATTGTTGAGATCTTTGATAGAATGATATCAAATTACATTATGTACGCAATGACGTTCAGCATCGTTTCGGAATTTTACAAGGAAAATTGGCTGATCAACGGTAAGTATCAATAAAAATTCATACTGATGCATATTATAGCTCAGATACTTACATGACACGCGGGATCTATTTGTTCAACAAGCAGTCTGTACAAGCTAATAGTTGGAACGTTATCAGTTACACCTTGTCCCAGCCCCAGATTATCGTCCTGCATAAGACGTCTGTCTTGCATAACCTATACAGGAAGAGAATAACATTTAGGATCTGACAACAGAGGGTAGTACATCAAGAAGAGGCGCCAGAAAAGCTGAGTTACATGAATAAAAAACAGAGCCGAAAGATATTAGAGTGAGCTGATCTACACTTAAAAAAATTACTCATTCATCACCAATCAAGACTCTCAAAGCTCAAGTTACCAAATGGGCCTGTTGCAAACGTTTGCTAGAGCAAAATTAAGAGTTGTTCTTCATGGAAAATGTCTCAAAAATCACAATGAGCGAATCAGCAAAGTCTGAAATGCACTCCTTACTTCACAATTTGCATAAGAAATTTGCGTTTCTTCGAGCTTCCCGCTTCAAAAACGATACCACGGCACAGGCGAACGTTACACAGCCGACGCCAATCCGCCAAAAAACATGTGATGGTGCTCATAATCTAACCACCTGATAACAATCAACGAGTTTACATTCACATTTTACTCACGTTGAAAGATATCTGCCTTGATTGACCTCGTGCTCTCTTCAACTTGCAAGCGAAAGCGTCGGGCATGTAGAGCAGGGATTGAATGGAACGACTTCTCTAACAAAATCTTCACCTGTGCTGTAGTATCCTTTTTGAAGCGGGAAGCTTAATAAACGGTATATTTCTTACGCAAATGGTGAAGTTAGGGGTGCGTTTCAAAGTTTGCCAATGCGCTCGTCGTGATTTTTGAAACATCATCTACAAGGAACAACTCTTATTTTTGCTCTAGCAAAAGTTTGCAATAGGCCTATTCATCATCAAACTCAACAGACTCAAGCTTGAGAGACTCAATACCACTGCCTTGCCAGTAACGTTGCTGATCTAGGTTTTACTGGCCCGATGTCCATCATATATTGCAAGACCAATATGTGTACATTAGTCACTGCGTATATTATTGAGATCCACTTTCCTGTCCAAACAAGACATTTTATTTTTATTTATTTTATGGATTTAGTATAAATTGGTAAAATTAAACGATACTAATTTTCATGTTACAGGTCAAGTGAATACTCAATTTATTGTGCAAAATTTTACCTCCAATTGTCCTTCTTTCAAGGACGCAGCACCTAAAGGTTGAGCTGACAGTAGAGTTAACCTCAAACGATTGTCCTCAATATAAGCAGCACTTGCCATCGGGTAATAGTTGGCCTGAAGAGGAAGCTTTTGGAATCGTTGCCGTTTCACCATCTGCAACAAACATCTCAATGACTTCGACTGCCTCAATGAATGTAATTTCACTCTGTGAATAATTTCCTTTTCAGCTGAAGCTAGAGTAGTGGTTTTGTTTAATACAATATATTAAACAATTTTGAAAGAAAATTATAAGAATTATTAATTTTTAAGAGAAAATGTCAAATTACGAACGTGTTTGTATACCTGTACACTTGGGTTATTCACATTCCCTAAGAAGCATGAAAGCAACACAATTTTATGTTTAAAAACATTCTGTGCCCTCAAAGAGCCAGAACGTTTTTCAGCTTTAATAAACAATTTTTAGGGTATTGACAAGCTAATCAGAAATTATGTAATTTTAGCATTTCTTATCTTTATTTTTATTGGAATTTGCCTTATGATTACCTGCAAGCCATTCAGATCCGTGTAATATGTATCATCATTCTGGATATTTGTTGATATCAGCATCGCGTACTCTGAGTTGCTTGCTTTCAAGTCTATGATGTTCTGGATGCCAATGAACATTTCATCAGGTCCTGGTGAAAATAAAAAGAAGCAAATTAAAATGGAGTTTTATTAAGTCAAGGTTGCCACAAAATTTAGAAAATGAAATTTCCTGACATTTCCCTGATACATTTGAGTAAAATTTCCTCACAATTGAAGATAAGACATAGCGCCAAGAAGACATAATTTGAAATAGTTTCCAAGCAAAATTTGTTGTTCTGAACATCAAATCTATTCGAGAAAGCTAACAGAGGCACGAGGGGATTAACAATTTTTCCCTGACACTTTCGTCATTTTCCATGACATTTCCAGGTTTTCACTGACTTTTCAGAATTTCCTGTCATTTCCCGGTATTCCCTGACTGTGGCAACCCTGTTAAGTCCGCAGAAGAATATTCAAGGCTCCTATAAATTAGATCTACTGGCAAACTATAAGGATTGGAGAAAATTAATGGTGTTTCATCCAGAAATATCAGTTACCTGGAATCACAAGTTTTTTGGAATTTTTGCGACGAGAATTAAGATGCAAGTTGACAAAGAAAACTATTTCTTAACATTACGAGTTTTCTTGAGATTAATATGCTGTTTATTATTTCATTTCCTCTTCTTCAGATTATTATCATCCAAAATCTCACTGAAGATTTGAGCACAGCTCTTAGTTAACCAGAAATTTCATGATATATATTTTTGGATTTTAAAACATTACCTAGGAAATGATAAATTTCAATCGTGTGGACCATTCGTTGTTCTAGATATAGATGGACTTGAGATAGAACGGGACCTTCCACAACAATTATTACAGGTCGATGGACCATTACTGTTGAAGCCTCACCATCAGGCAAAAACAAATACGCACCGCTCCGCTCTTGTCCTAGTCTTGCACGGTACCTGCAGGTGAAGAAAAATGGGGATAAATTTAATTAAAATAGCTACGGCAGTAAAAAAATGTTGAAGAGTTGCAGACAGCCTGCTTTAAGTCGGAAAAATGTACATATTTCAATCTGTGACTTTATCATTGCAAGACAGCGATTCTAATTAATTGAGGTATGCTTATAAACCAATCGTTTTATTTTTAAGGAAAATATCATGGAATGGAATTTTTTGGTTTTCCATATGAAATCCTTTCAGCATTTTGAGAGAAGTGACTTTGAAAGTTTGAAATAGCACAGGAAAAGATTTGGGGCAAAAATAAGTTTGGATAAGTGCAGTCCTTTTGAAGAAAATCATATGGTTAGTGGAGCTATTGATAAATTGGACTTTGAAGTAATTTGTGGCCACTTTCCTACATCATTTAACGACAAATTTGAATGATATTCTTCTGGTAACCTGGAACTTTTTTTTAAAAAATTCAAATTTTTATGATGACTCTTAAATGAAAGGTGAAACAAGCATCTAGGCATTGATAATTGGAAAGCAGACTTCTACATTTCGATGAACTGAAGTTTTTCAAGATCAGAAAAGTTGGTTCTCAAGGTTAAACACATGGTTTCCTGGTTACAATATTAACGCAAATGAGAAAAATCAACTCTTTTGGGGAAGCTTTTGAGACCCTCAATAAACGATTGAACGAATCTAAAAAACTGTATAATGACCTTAAATTGTACCAAGTTTGAATCTGTGAAGGAAAGAGTGAATAAATTCCCTTACTTGATAAAGTTCAAATGAATTGGCATGGTGATTTTCTTGTTTTTCAGTGTTATAGCTTTCAAAAATCCATCACTGGAAAATGCTACTGCAATGTTGTCGTTTTGGATTAGGAACTCTTTGCCTGTGTCATGCTCATCAACTAAGTTCATGAAGTGGATCACTTTTTCAATGTCCGTGTTTTTGTTGTAGACCTTCAAACGCGCTTTCTTGGCACTGTAAAGATAAAGACAAAAAAATATAGACTGGTGGATAAAAACCTTTAAATTATACACAGAGGACAATAATTATGTAAGAAGGGAGTCAGTTCATATTACAGGGGTACAATCACATTTTTTCTGGTGTGTTTCAAATAGTTAGCAGCAGACAACATTAGTGCATGAACAGTCATATTCACTCCATTCATTTTCATTATCTGTTTCCTTTTATCTTTTAATTTCTGAAAGTTCAAAGGGAATGTAAGTAATTCCCTTAAATATTTCAGATCACATTGATTGACTTAAAAAATGGACAATTTTTGAGGCAGTTTCTTCCCCGCATTTTTTTGAGAACATCAATGTTGAATGTTGCTGAAAAAAACAGACAGTGATAGTTGATGACAACTTACTTCTGAATTTCAGCTGTCATTACAAGATACGTCTTCAGCTCCAAAGCATCGATTTCAGCGACAAAGAATACTTCATAGCATTGTGCTAGTAAAATACCAGATCGGCAAATAAGGTTTATTTGGTAGTTGACTTCAGTTCCAACAGAATCAACAATCTGCAAAACATAATAAGAAATTTAGTACAGAAATTATGAAGATATTTTATTGAAGAAGTTATTCTAGGATTTGGAAGGGTACATTTTCTTCGTTTTTCTTGAATTATAAATTATCAAATCTTTTTTATGGTATTTTACTGATTAGTTCACAGCAAACACAAATATTTTCGACCTGAGAGTGTCAAAAATGTCTCTTGATCAACTGTTTTGAGCAACTGATACTCCCCTAACCTCTAAGTTTAGAGTTAAAATTGAACTGATATTTTTATTAAAGGCCCAAGTGCCAAAATCCAAGTCTCGTAAAATTGGGAGAAAGTGTGCTATTTGGTGTCCATTCAATCTTTTGAGCCCAGTTTCAATAAGTATTCTTCGGATGTATACATTTTTTAGACTTACAAGATTTAGCGCACGTCAAATGGTACAGTTTTCCCCTTTGATCTCAAAGCTTGTATTTTGACTTTTGAGCCCTTCAGAAAAATATCACTTCATTTATGGTGATTAATTATTCTTATGCAATTAAATAATCCACTGAAATAGAAAATATCTGAAGAGAGCCTTGTTAATTGCCCTCAATTTTGAGGCAAAGAGTCCATAAGAGAATTTAACTGGCCGAGATGGAAAGAGAGTAAAAGTCATAAATACTTTTAAAAAGAACAGAGAGAACTAGTGAAGAGAAAAACATGGAAAAGAGATGTGACATGCTTACTTTTATAACTGGAGAGGATACTCTCAATGAGATAAGCTCTTTTCGTCTCCTTGAGAGTGTGTTGAATAAAACAATTCGCTGAATATTGTTGTCTCTTGATAGATAAATAACGAAACGATCTGATAGACTAGATGAGGTTTTACGCGAATCGTCCAAGTTGAATAATATCGTTTCCGAGTTCAGCAAATGGTCTGTGGAGACTTTTTCATTCGTGAGAAGTAAGTACGCTGATTTTTGGATAACATTCTTACACATGTTCATGGCTCGAACCATCCTGAAATAAATGATGTAAGAAAATTAATTAATAATAAAGTATAAAGTATCCCAAAAATTCAAAACTTTTTCATGATTATCTAAATTATACATGATTTAACGCCAGTAGAAACTGTTTGGCTATTTTGAGAGGAAATTGCAGACGCAAGGCTCAGAGAAGCAGAATAATAAACCAAACTTACTTGTCTGCATAGTCAATGACGACATAATCTTTGGCAGTGCCTGTGATACCATCATGGTGTTGGAACAGGCTCAAACTGCTGCGTGCCTGAGACAACTGTTCCATCATCTTCAGTCCGGATTGCAAAAGCCAATCAGTTTTTTCAGGAGCTGATTTTGAAAACATCTTCCACGCTAGAGTGAAAATCATATCTGCAGACCTGGAATGAGGAATGATGACTATTTATACTCAAATTATCTTGTATTTCTGGAGCTGTACATAAGTTTCAAGAAAAATTAAAAAACACTTAAAAAAAAATTGCAATGGGGTTCAATCACCATTAGGCCAATAGTTTGACATGTGGACTAAATTTTCAATTTTTTCCCCTTTGTCTCATCTAAAATCTCATCTTATTTCAAATCTTGTTTTGCCTTGTGTATGTATCCTTTTACTAATATAAGGGCGTTTTCCCATAGGGGTGTTCCAACGAATTCTTGCCGGAACGCTATCGGTATCGTCTCTTACCGAAACTGGTGGCAGTACAGACAGTGGCGGTGACATCATTAACAGCCGCCCTTATCGGAGTTCTGAGAGCTCGCACTCGATGCATTGTTGCCCCATGTGTCGATTTGGCAGAATGCCTGGTCCGGCGGCACATGAAATAGATGTACAAATGGCAACAGCTTATTTTTGGCAGCTCCAAAAACTCAGATCCCTATCGGTAAGAGCGCTCATATCATAACTTTTTCTTAACGGAATTGTTTCAGTAGCTTACCGACAACCGATAGAACAGCCCTATTTTCCCATGTCATATTCCCAAAACTCTTACATTTTTTTTAGTAACACTTTACATGCATTATTTTATCAGATCAGTGATGATTACCACTTAATTACCTAAGGTATGTGACAAGCTCACGTTCCATTCTCTTGTAAAAGGGACGAGATGTGTAATAACCGCTCCAATAATGATCATCTCTGTCAGCATACGTGAAGAAATCTCCAGAGAGACTGGGAAAACTGCTTGTGGCTTTCTCCTGCCTGATGGCGTCAAAATAATCTAACAAGGTGCCAAACTGAATCTGAAAAAAGAAAAAAAAAATTAAAATAGACCAAAAGCAGAAAGGGAAACATTTTCTGGAGCATAACTTTGTCTACAAACTGATTGCAGTGTGAAGCATGTGTTCTTAAGAAAAATTGTTGATGATTTTGCCAATATGCATTAAATTCAAAATAAAATGATTTTCTCTTTGGGAAATTACTTCAAATTTTGAAGATGCAAAATTTATTCAATTTTACGGCGATTGTGGTCCAACTTATTCAAGGATTTTAGAAGATTTAAAGAGAGTGTTTGTATTTTTACCACAAAGACCATTTTTGACTTATACATTCGTTGACATTATTAGTAGGATTCGAGCAAGTCAACAACAAATAATGCAACGCTGAAACTGGAAAATGTAAAAACACTATTCAAATAAGTTTTACTTCAACAGAAAACTGATGTATCATAGTTTTTGTTTTAATATTTTTACTAGCATAAGATTTTACAGTGTTGCAGAATTCTAAAATCAAATAATTTAATAATGGTAGGGAAAATTATTTAACAATGTTGGTGTAAAAAAAAATCAGTTTCAGAACTTTAGAGATACGGTAACTTACCTCTACATTTAGGCTTGGATTTGAATTGAGGTAGTCAAACATTTTCTGATAATTGGTGTACTGGACATCCCATTCTTTGCTTGTGTCATATCGAAAATCGTCTCCTAACGGAGCGAGCACAACCCTTGTAGAATACAATTCTGCTTTTTTTCGATATTGATCTAGTAGCAACTCAGACCTATCAAAGAGGACAAAATTTTTATGTGAAAAATCAAAGAGAGAGAGATAGAGAGAAAAAATGAAACACTGCATATTTTGGCAGGTTTTATAAAAATCAGAGCACTTAATTTAACTTGTCAAAAAAAACACAAACCTGTAAGCAAGATTGTTGTCGTTTATTGCCTGCGGCTGGATATTCCATGGGCAGTAAACTCCTAGACCTGGGAGTCGTCGAAAATCAAACTGACAACATACTTTGGGATCTGGTCCGCAAGTGTGAGGTACATCATAACTGTAAAATGGCATCATATGAGTAAGGAGACCAGTTGTCTCTGTATTGTCTGAAAAAAGAGGGTAAAAAAATTTTCAATTACCAGACTTGCATATTTGATCAGTCAATCTTGGCGGGAAAAATAACAATTTAAATAGAACGGTTCTGAGTCTGGGTTGGGTAAAACTTGAGTACACTTTATCAGACTAATCCTAGAGTATTATGAAAGCTAACTGCATACTTGAATTTTAAAATTAAAGACTGATTTCAAATGGATTTAAAAGTGCTCACAGTTAATACCACACTGCTTGTAAAGTTGATTACTGCTTGCATGGACACATTAACAAATATTACAGTAATGAGCTAATAAATTAAAAAAGAATTAATCGACTTTTCCTGATTGTAATTATTTTTGTTAGCTTAAAAGGCCTTTTCCGTTATTGACACACATACTGTTACATTGATATAACGCCAAAAATTTCAAAGGAATAATTATTAAATTGGTGACAAAATAAATTCAGTTCCTGATCAGAGAAGATGCTATGAAATAACTAAATATAAACAGGAGAGGAAAAGACAATTATGTATTCTTATTCATACCCCATGCTTGGGTCCAACGAAATTCCAGGGATTTGTACTTGGCAAGATATTTTTTGACAATATAGTGAGTTCTTTGAATGAGGACACCTTCAAGGAACATTTTCTTCAACAAAAATGGCTGGGTAGGACTATGACCAAACGGATCAATTTGCCAACTGGTTCTGAGGCAAAAGAAAAGAAAAATTAACAGATGTTTTCGAAAGAAAAATAATAAAATACAAACAAATCAAAGATAAGTTTTCCTCCGTAGCAGTTCAAGTATTAGCACAGCTAGTCAGGAGGCGATGCTCTCATCGCTTGCTCTATAATATGTACTTGCTTCCTGAGCATTCCTTCTACTTACATCTCACTTTGAGAGAATTTGAGGGTTCTAAAAATTTAAAAAAACAACTGTCCCTTGATGCCATTTGACTCTTTTGAAAATACTGGAAAAATTCAATTACTGGATAAATTATTATTGTTTTTCATTACCATCACAAATAATTGGTGAAACAATTTGAAGAGGCATTGCTAAGCTTTTTGATGCTACAAGTGATGAATTTCAGCTGTGTTGAAAAATGGACCGCATTAAACAGAAAGGAACCAAGCCACATCAGCTATTGCCAAATTCAATTGGGCAATTTCATTTTTTACATGAAAACGGTTGTGCGGATTTTTGTGCAAACAGTGAATTTTTTCCATAATACAAAACAAATTCCCTAAAATTTTCAAAGGAATCTGCGCAGACGTTCTCTCGTAAAAAATGAAATCTCCCTGTTAAATTTGGCAACAGCTGATGTGGCTTGGTTCCTTTCTGTTTAACTTGGTCCAAATATGGAATGTATACGTGGTAATATATCCCTGACCACTTTAGGATCTGATACCTCTCGAGCGTTACGCGATACTCTTGGGATTTTAATGATTGGTCGGTAATTTTGGCAAGGAAAGGGAGATTGACCGAGTTGTGATCTACTTACTTTGAGGTGTAATTCAAGTTGTCATGGAGCCATTGATGGCCATGAGTCAACTGCTGGAGAGTGGAATAGTAGTGAGAATTGGCTTCGTCGTTCATTACCCATCCTCCCGTCACAATTTCTAGCTGGCGGTTTCGAAGCAATCTGAAAGCATAACCCTTCATTATGATCATGCTGAATGGAAATACGCGGATGAAAAGAGCAGTTTCTAGAAACCATGTTGAGAATGATGCTAAGTCGAAAAGTGCCCTTAGCCCTTAGGACCATGGAAACCACAGCTTATTTTATTCTAAGATATTTTAAATGAGACCATTTGGGCAGACCATTTTAAAAGCTAGAAAAGGCAACAAGGAAAAAAAAAGCAAAGTAAAAAAACAGAAAGTACGGTAGAACATAATTTGTGCTTTGCCTTTAACATTCTACACCTTACAGAAAGCTGGAGCTTAGAATATTATTTACATCATTTTTAGCTAATTTTGAAGTATTCACTTATTTTGTGGTAGACTGCAGCCAGCAAAATTTTTGCCAAGACATGCATTAATGTTTGATTCAAGTAGCAAAAAACATCAAGTTAAACTAACGGATTCATTGCGTTCAGAGGGTTAATTTCAAACATGAAGCAGGCTGCCTTTTTGGAATTCTATGTACGGGCGAAACATACATAATGCTTGTTTCCATATTCTGAACTTCTGATTGGCTAGAAAAAAAAGCCCTTTAGTAAATGAATGATTAGTAGAAGAGAGGATACACTTAATCATTTTTTATCTTGATTTCTGATTACAGGATTGAATACATGCACATCAAATACTGCAAAGGGATGATAGTGACACTGGTTCGTTTGTCCAGGAGAGTAGCGAATGAGAGGGAAAGGCTAAACTTCTGGTTTCCACCTCTGTGTTATAGGTTATGGGACCTGTTCTTAGACAATAAAAAAATGAGTGTTGTGCTGAAAGGTAAGCTTTTTCTTTTTATTAATCTTGGACATTTTTTAATGTAACCGTAAAAAAGGCAAGAAGATTCATCATAGCAACACATGCATTGGATATGAGGAGAATCTAGCGAGTTCATGAGAACTTCCTTGGGAGGTTTGATACCCATTTGAGGTAATAACGCCGTAAGAAACAGTAACATGCATATCATGAAAAGATAAGAATAAAATGAATAGTGAAAAATGTCAATTACGTTTGCACACTGATTTTCGTTTCTTCCGATATTTGATTCCACCAAAGCGAAAAGAACGAAATTTCTGCCCAAATAAACTTACGCCGAGGGTCTTCCTTCAACTTTACCACCATATTATCGAGAATATTCTTTGTATGATGTTTGAAATACTCTTCAAAAGTCATTTTCCACCCTGAAAATTAATGCAACATAAGTATGAAGACTCAGGAGGCAGCAATTATCAATGAAAAACAGAAAACAATTTTCTTTTGTAGTTTCTATTTTACCTTGAAAAATCTACATACTAAGCGAGATGAATTTCAGGAAATCCAAGTCAATTAAACGATCTATGATGCTTTGCAAGATTACTTAAACAGGATTTGAACGCTTCAAATTAAAATTATCCGCAGACTTTCACCATGAGTGCGCTTCCTACCTGTAACATGCTTAGTTGGTGGTTTACAATTACAGTAAGACCTCGAATTATCGGATCGCGATTTAACGGATCGATCCTCCGGTCCCTTCAGCAGGACCGACTAGTGCAATTTAGCGAATTCCGCGATTTAGCGGATTCGGCCTCCAGTCCCGTGAAATCCGATAAATCGAGGTCTTACTGTAGTTCTCCGCTGGTTAGCTGGTCACAATGATAGTTATGACTTGGCTTAACCGACAAAAAACCTTCACTGTGACTCGTTTGACAGTGAATGTGTGGCAAGGGACCGCTCCTTGGGATATGGGTCACATACTGGCCGAGAGGAGATCTCCTGGTCTTGTACAATTATTGTTCACAGTGATGGGCTGACCCTCAAATAATATTTAATATCTGCACATTTTTTGTAAAAAACATTTACAGCACTAAATTTTTTTTTAAAAAAAATAATTTAGCACTGCAAAACTTTTAACTGTTTTTATTAGTCAGTTTTTTATTGAGTTATAAAAACCGTGATACCTGGGTCGTTGTGGGAGTGAGGCATGACAAACACTTTGAGTTTATTTTCTGGTGTCCACCGGTGGGGTTGGGCCAAGACGTTCCAACCCTGCTTCCAAGCTCCTCCATCGGTGTTGTCAAACTTCATTTCATGATACATTTTCAGCATCTGACGGAAACAGTGAAAATGGATGATGAGACATTTGATGATTCAAAGAAACCAACAGAGCTTCAAAATTTCTTTAAAAATTGAAATTACTCTAGAAATATATAAGGCTCATGAAGTAATTAATTTGTGCATACATTTTTAAGTGTTCTTGAGCTCTCTCCTTTCTTCACACGACAGTATGACTGCAACACAGCTGGCTTTTATCTCCCTGAAATTGTAAAAACCTTGCCGTTTTCTTATATTTTCCCAAGGTTTACAAATGAAGAATCGTGAGCAAATGAATAACAAAATAATGCATCTCAGTGGTAACTCCACATCATCGGGAGAAGTTTTGAAACTCTACCGCTGCAATTCCACAGTGCTCAATTTTCCCAGCTAAGAGGAACCAGGTTTTATGGAAATTTTAGAACTTTACATGTTTCAAAATTCCTACCCACTATTATGCAAAATATTTGTCCCTGTATATGGGCTTGATTCTCTGTTTTCCTTATAAGTTGCTTCATTCACTATATTTTATGATAATTTTTTTTTAGAATTAAAAATCCTGCATTTATAAAAAATTTGGATTGCTTTAGAAACCAAGCAAAAAATGTCTCATATTAAAAAATATGGTAAATGATTGAGCATTATATGTGTGGAGATACTCACATTAATATCATGACGAAGAGTTTCATTGAAAAATGAACATTTCATTGGTTCCATAACATCACTGCTGACAATATGCGGCTTTATCTGTAAAAAATTAAGAGAATGAAGATGAATTAATAATGCTTAAGGACATTTGTACATAATATGTTGGCAACACAAGAGCTTTCCAGCAAACATGACCAAGGGATGAGCGTACTGTCAGGTACCATCATAAACTTATGAAAAAAAAATATCCTAAATGAATATGGATTTGATTTCTTGTCGATTACAATTGAAGTATGTTACAACTGGCTCTGGTGCTTAAGAAAACCAAACTACAAGCAAACTATGAAAACAGTCTAAGACGACATGAGATAACCAACTCCTTCTTTCCTCCTGCTGCACTTTCCCTCTTTTGGAAAAAAGAAGTCAAAGTCCTCGGCGACCTTTCATCTTGGATTTTTCTCTTGATCAGGTTGGAGCACCAGAGATAGACTCTGCTATTATCAATCATTTGATAATTTTCTGTGCTGGCAAAACTATTCCGGTATGCATTGTTCTTTTGATTTTCAATTAATATCAAGGAAATTATTAATGGTTTTAGAGGCAGTTGATGGACATTTTTTAAAAATAAAATGAAATTATGAATCAAATTTACCGATTGGAAACGAGGAGGAATAAAAATGTCAGGATTTTCGACAGGCTCAGCATTCGGTAGCTGAAATCAGAGATTAATGACACAATAATGATTGACTCGAATATTTGAAGATATAATAGATAATAATGAAATGGGCCACCGCACAAGGTATGAATTAAAGCATTACGCAATATATTCCCCTTTCTAAATTTCAAGAGGAAAACGAATCACTCATCCGGAGGTTAGAAAATCAACTCCTAAACAAAATATAAGTGTTTACAATTAATATTGTGACAAAAATATAAATCACATCATTTGTGAAATCTGACTTCCATATGATCTGCGCTAAAAATATTTGTTGATATAGCTTTTAGGAGCCTTTTTCAAACTTCTTGAAGTCCCCTTGTGTGAATTATTTTCTACTTAAAATTTTAAAGAGAAAACATGTGATATTCCTGTTTAGTTCAGACCTTGTCTGGTGGCCTATTAATTCATTAAGATGACGGAGGACTTTTCACAGCTAAAACTCTCAGAAATTGAGAAGTCTATCTTTACAGATTTTTTAAGAGTGCATTTTTTAAACGAAGATGATAGTTTAACTTTTTTTTTTCTTTGGCTTAGAAGCTTGAGCGTGATGTATTGAGAATACATGCAGTATACATGCATAGGTTTTAATAAGTTAATTTTGCATATTAGTTTTGCTTTTTATCGTAACAATGAGACCGATTATTGTATAATAGATACAAATTTTTAAGAGCAGCCCAAGACAATGATAACAGTGGAAAAACAAGGATGAAAAAACGGGAAACAAGGCTAAAAATACACAATTTATAAACCCGAGACGTTTCGACTCAAAACTGAGTCATTTTCAGTCGGAAACAATAAAATTGGGGAGAACTGGGTTCGATCATTTTCGGTCATTGGTGCTGGCATCGATGTGCCTCGTTTGTTATCAATTTTCTCTTTCAGATCCCGGCTGCCACCATGTAGGGCTCAGGTTTTTATCGTTTTTTCTTTTAAATTTTATTGTTTCTGACTGAAAATGACTCAGTTTTGAGTCGAAACGTTTCGGGTTTGTAAATTGTGTATTTTTAGCCTTGTTTCCTGTTTTTTCATCCTTGTTTTTCCACTGTTATTGTATAATTGTGTACTATGGACGATCTAGGGCATTATGAAGAGAAGGATATACAAAGATGGTACAACTACAAAACTCTGTGCTTCAGTTAGTGATATTACAGATTTCCTATTTCTTTTTTTACCTACTTTTCAAGTCTTAAAAAATTGACGGATGATTGTCATTCCAAAAAAACAACTGAGGAGAGTTCCAAAAGAAGGATCCAAAATACTGCCGTGTTAGGAAAGAGAGTTTGGGCCAGACGTTGCCATACTTCCTTCAATTGAAACAAATATATTTACAAGGAAAATTGCAATATTTTCTTTTCAAAAATTTTAGACAATTTTGTATTCTAAAACATCGAAAAATTTCAAGGGAAAATATGCTCAACTTTCTTCATAAATACATGTTCTATTCGGGGAAATTTGATATCTCTGAATGCTTATAAGTACAGCGTTCTTTCTTATTGCGGCAAAATGTTCCAGGTGTGCTCGCTGCTCCAAGCAGCAGCTATCTGAACTAACTGCCCAGATTAGTTCGGAGAAATGAGCTCACCCATGTTTTCAGGGATCTCTTTTAGTGACCCTCCTCAATTGTGATACTTCTCTGACCTAATACCCTAAGTAATACTCTTTTGAGAGAATTTTTTGAAAATCTTACACAGAAGAGTATGATAATTTAATAATCAAAATAAAGGTAGAATTTTAAATGTAAGAGGAATACCGGATCTTTGATGCCGAGAGTTGAGTCAGTAATCGTGTAGAGCACAATAAGAGAGTAGCAGAGACAACCAGTAATTATCAGAGTCATTGAGAGCACCGCTATCCTTGCTTTTATTTTCATCTCTGCGGAGGCAGTGCTGGAGAAACCAAGTAGTTTACAGGCTTACATGCTCAGCTTATCAGAGCAAAGCTTGTCTGGAACAGAAGAGTCGCAGTAGGTATCAAACCATCTTAGAATTTCAAGAACTCGGCCGGTCCCACAATTGATTTTTTTCCATTGGGCAAAAACCTGAAAACAGAATATTAGCTGGCAAAAGGACTACCGACGTAACACCGAGAATTTCAGCGCCAGCTGAATTTCCATAAAATTGAATATGATATTCCTGGTGACCTTCTAAGCGCAATAAGCTTCTGAAATCGAACTTAATGCCAGTCTGCAGGCCAATTATTGAAATTGATAGACAAAGCCACAGACAAAGAAGACAAAAGAGATATGGAGGGGTCCTACTGGTGGAGGCGGATGATTGCAATGGACAAACGAGGTAGGTAGTAGACTAACTAACAGCAACCCACAAGAGACCCGATAGTTAGTCCATCACTTCCTCCCTTAGTCTATTGGAACCACCCGTTTCAACCAATAGGATCGCTCCATTCTCCCTATGTCTATTGCTTCTGTCAATTTCAATAATCAGCACGCTGGCAAAAAAAAGGGCTGAGAAGTGAACTTTTCTGCCCTCTACCAGACAATTTTAGATGAAAATGTGGGGTCATCGGAATCATTGTTATGTACAGACTCTACTCACGATCTTATTAGTTCTGTGAATGTGTTTGACAAATAATATTCTGAAATCCTGAAGTGGGTTCCTTTCTTTCCCAAAATTGAGCTCTTCATGGCAGAGGCCAGAGATGTACAAAGATACTGCTTAGTACAAGTCACGCAAAGATAAACAAGGTTGCCCAGAAAAGAATTAAATACAGGACATAATGAGTTCAAATTTAATCCTAAAGTGCCTCTTCTGCAAATTATATTGGACAGCATGAAACTGAAGTGGGTGAGATGTCACTCTCTTCGTGACGGAAGAAAGATCTTGAATGCTGGAATGACCCATTGAGGAAGAGAAAAATCAAACAAATAGTTGTTCACCTGTAATTTTATCTGGGTAACGACCTCTAGGTGCCGGCTTTTCGACGTGGACGAAACAGCATTCCAAGAAATTCACTGATAAGCAGCGAAGGCACACCTGCAAATTGATAAAGGGAGAATCCAACTTGAAACTGTTATCATTTCTAGTCGCATTTCGTTGCGATGGATTCGAATTGTATTATTAGAAATGCAACTGACCAGGACGTTTCTACGTCACAAAAAATTCGATGCACTATGCGGTAAAGACTGTTTACGTATTAGGAAGCTAATTTTTTGTAGAAAAGTGCCAAAGTGGAGATAACGATTTGTATTTGTTTACACAGTTTTGAGGTTAAAAATTCAGAGCGATGGATGATGGAAAGGAGGGGGGACGGGCGGGAAAATAGATTTTCTTTTTGCCGCTTAATTTGAAAAAGGAGCGGGAGATTTAAAAATGCGGGCTTGCCTCCAGTTTGCCGACAGCGGTTTCGCGCGACGGAGACCCATTATCACGTAAGAGGAGAAGAAACCGCGCTATTTACTTCGGTTTGCAATATCATAGGTGGCTTATAACGGCTATAAATCCTAAGATTCTTGAGATATTAACATATTCTCCAATATTTAAGTGGTAAAATTTTAAAATATGTGAAGTTTTATCAGGTCCTACATTTCTCAACGGCAAGAAAAACCCTATTGGGTGATATCAGTAAATCATGATACACTGGTAACATCACTGGTAGGTATACCATAAGTAAAACGCTTACCAAGCGGCAAATGCCTATCCTGTCAACGAAAGGCGGAATCGCCTACTAATTTGAAATTTATCCCACCATCGTTTGTTTGTATTCTCGCTCAATTCAAAAATCCAGTTATGCAGGGAACCGAGTTGTTAACATTTACTAGGAAAATACAACAATACAAACAACTGAACCAAGTCTTGCAACGAGGAACCATTATACATTAAAGCACTCATCTACTAATGGAAATTAATGGCATCATATAAGTTGTTTCTCACATGAGCCCGCTGACGGTGTAAGTCAATCACATTACTCGGTTTGCGACGTCGCAGACTTCCTGTCATACTTTATTTTTCAAACGGAAAACGACTCGACGGCAATTCTTTAAAACTGCCGTGATTTTTCTTCTCTTTGCGAAGAAAATTCTGCAAAAACCTCAAGGAATGATGTCGATTTGCTCTCCTTTAAAAAAATTACTTTGAGGCGGAGATTTTCAGACACCGCAAACGAGATATTTGATTGCGGACTTACGCCTTCGATATGTTGAGAGGCAGGCGAGCGTACATCGCCCATAATGGACCACTAGACAAGGTACGAATTTAAGCAATCTGATACATGTTCCTTAACCAGAATTTCACGTAGAACACGATTCACACTACGAAAATTACCGAAATCAACTTCTAACGAAGATATTAACGTTTTTATTTCGCACTGATTACGAGGAATTTGAACTGCCCGCTCACAAGAAACTCAAAGCTCTACGCGAGTCAAATCGCGCACTACAACGGTTTCAGCAAGCTCCTCAATCGAGCAATGTTCATTTCCCACCATGTGTTGTTCAAACTATTGGTAATTTGCTATAGCTGAGCCAAAGTGTCAAGATTGAAGTTGAAGATTTTTACATCGCAGAGACTGTCATGATAAACATTTAGCGCGCGATGTGAATCACGTAGAGCATTGAGTTTTCATGAGCGGGTGGTTTCAATTCACGCATCAAGAATCATTAAATATCTTCGTTAAAAGTTGCTTTTGGTAATTTTCGTTGTGCGTATCGTGTTCTACGTGGAATTTTGGTTGAGAAACATGTATCAGAATGCTGTGATTCGTACCTTGTCTAGTGGTCCATTGCCGAGAAAAGCGAACGGTTCGAAGAACGAGTGTTTGAAGATTTGTCGGGGCCTATAATGCTTACCAAATCACTGTACATCCTAACATCGCACTACTCATTTTTTTTTTGAACTTTCTGTTGGATCCTTGTTGAATGCCAGTTTGATTCACTGAATTATAATCTGCACCCTGCGCGACATTTTTTATAGTGATTTTGGAAGGTCGGACAGTTTTTTTTTTCCCTCTTTGTTAATATCCATAGCAAAGCAAAGACATGGAAAAGAAGGAGAGAAAAAAGAAAAAGAAGAAGTAGCAGAAGGAACCACGATCGATAATTCTATCTCGACTTAAAGATTTTGACCTCTGAAATCTATACAGGAGGCGTCATTGAAGTTATTTTAGACAATGGCACGATGACTCTTTTTTACAATACCTACCCAATATAATGCGGGGTATTTCAATGAGTTTTTCCCCCTCTTTTTTTACCCTCTGGGTTCTCAAAGAGAACAGATTCGCACAAAAAATAACCCTCTTAAGTGATCGAAAGAACGGGAAATAACCGTTGCAAGACTCCATAAGAGCAGGTCGCGACGATAGTATATTGATACATGGGTATTGTTATGTTTAACCCCCAGGATGCAACTATTCGGGCTTCGTGGATGTCCGTATTGCATACATGTAAAAAAAAAGGGTTTTTGACTGCCCATGATCTTCCCGCTCAACCCGCGGCCCGCGGCTCGGCGCACAGAGGATCGAGTCAATTAGAGAGGTCGGACATGAAATTTTTTACTAAAACTACAAATTTTGATTTTTAATTCGTCATATTTTAAATTTTAAGGGATGTTTCAAGATGAAAATATCCCGAAAAAATCAATGGAACCACTTTTAGAACCTCAAAGTTTTGTATAAACGGAGTTATAAGATTTTAAAGTTCCCAAATGTTGTCCGACCTCTCCTCTTGACTTGATTACCGTGCGGCGCGTCACCAACGGCGGACTTTACTTTTACTACGAGGATAAAAAATGACAGAGCGCTTTCAGTTCTTCTTTTATATACTCTAAAGATATCTCCTAGGCACAAATAGTTGCATACAGGCATAGAATTTGAGTGTTTTTTGTGTTTCATTTTTGATATCGTGATGTGCTGAACGTGATTTTCAGAGTAACTATTCATGCTTAAGAGATGTCTTCGCAGTGTGCATAAATGAAAATTTGAAAGGCTTCCTGTCATTTTAGATTCCCCAGTAGAGCCCGCCGCACAATGAAATGGGCCTTTCAGCGAAGTTGTACATGAAATTTTTAGATAAAACTGCAAAGTTTGACGTTGATTTCTTCACATTTTAAATTGTATGCGGTACTCTTTAGAGGAAATTTCACGAGAAAATTAGCGGAACTACTTCTGAAACCTCTACGTTTTGTATTAACATCAATATGAGCTTTTAGTGTATGCTCATTTTGTCCGGCTCCTCATTGACCCGCTCCACTGAGCGCCGCTAGTGAGGCGGATAGTATATGAGGTCAAAACGCCTTCACTCCCGTGCGTATGCAACACGGACATCCATGCAGCTCGAATAGTTGCATCCAAGCGTTGTTATGAAATTCGTTGTGCGACACTAACTGAAGCTTTAATTATTTTCCTTATACCTTAACTTAATTTCAGCGTTGCCTATTGTGCCGTTGACATGAACCAGTACTGATTTTTATCACGACATCGTCAATTTTCCGAGAAATAAATAATTATGCAATTATCAAGTCACCTGGCTCGATGATGCAAGTTGGTACAAACGCTCCTTACATTGTCGATTTTCTTGAGAATGGTGAAAAAAGTCATTCTATATAAAGTGTTAGAAATCATATTTTGAGTTGTGCTATGCAAAACAAAACAAAAAACAAAAAAACAAAAAAACAAAAAAAAAACCCCGACGTTGTGGTCCGTTTTTCATACTTCGAATCTCAGATTTTGCTGGGAATAACGACGCCGTATTGCACCTACTCCTACTTACGTCACGGAATTCACAAATTCCCACGATGCGATTTCCATCTATTTTTTTTCGCCATGCCTTTAAGTATTCTGCCATACTTCGGCAAGACGCCGTGCGAACATTCGAATGTTGCCAAGTCTCTCGCGATTAACTATTTATTTTTGAGAGTAGCTATGAGCATGTCTCCTTGTAATTTTCAGAGATTTTAGATAAAATTGAGAATAAAAATATATAAAAAATTGGAAAGAAAATATTAGCAAGTTCCCCAGAAAATCCGTAGTTTATCAAAGCAGATTTGGCAACGTCTGAAGGCTCATGCGGCGTTCTTCCTTAGCACGGCAGTATTGCTTTTTTCTATTTTGACGGGAGAACCGCGTGACATGATACTACTAAAACTGCTACATCATTTTCGACCTCAAAAATCCGGCTCATTTCATCCCCATGAGTTTTCTCTCGCACTGCGTTCACTTCTCAGCGAGTGTATAACGGGACTCGAACCCAAACCCTCAGATCAACCACCGGTCAATTCGATTGCCAACTCTCAACGGCGATCGCAGTTCTGCTGTGAAGGAAAAGAGCCGTATGAGCATTCGGATGTTGCCAAATTTCCTCTCGGAAAATATTCATTTTCGTAGAAAGTTACGAATATTTTTCCTTAAAATTTTCAGATATTTTACATTGCAGTGCGAACAAAATTCTCTGAAAAGTTAAAGGGAAATTAATTGCAAATTTTTCCAAGAATTGTTGTTTGGTCAAAGGAAATTTGGCAACGGCTGAGGGTTCATACGGCGTTTTTCCTTGGCACGACAGAGTCCCGCTCGTCGGAATCCAATTAGGCGCAATTAGTGGCGACTGCGGTCGACTGACCGGTGGCGCTCTCTCCCGGTCGCCGCGGCGAGCTTTCGATGATGTAACCGCGCCGCAGCCGTCATCGTCGCGCGTGCAAGGACTACCGGCGGTTTTTTTCTCTTTCCCCGTTTTCCACCCGTTTTTCCGCCTCGCCAAGCCCGCTCGCTTTCGCAATTTTCCGACGATTTCGCGACAAAACGTAGCGTCGAACTTCAACCGCCCCCGCTTCCTTGAAAGTTCAGCCGTGGCTAGTGTTGGTTTTTTTTCAAAATTTTTTTGGAAATTTCTCCAGGATTCAAGATTTTTTCAAGATTTTTCTACGGCGAAGTATTTCCGACTGTGTTGACTGTATTTTCGCGTATGACCGACGATTTCGCGAGAAAACGTAGCGTCAAACTTCAACCGCCCGCTCTCCTGAAATCTCAGCCGTGGCCAGTGTGTGCGTTTTTTTTTTTTGAAAAATTCTTCGGAGATTTCTTCAAGATTCCAGATGTTTCGAGATTTTTTCAGGATTTTTCAAGATTTGTCGAGGGTGAACGCCGTGTTTACTTAATTTTTGCGTATGACCAACGATTTGCTGGGAAACGTAACGTTGAACTTAATTTGAATCCCAACTTGTCCTAGTTTCCTTGAAGTTCGGCCGGGGATAGTGCTTTCCTC